TGCTACATAATAACTTTATTTTATTTAAAATCTTGTAATTGATTTTATAGGAAACTATTTTACGCAGCCATGCATTCAACTAAAGTGTGAGCTAAAATGTGAATTCATCCAAGGCTTGTAGAGATCGGTCACTGAGGCAGAGTTGGGGGGGGGGGGAAGATTTTGATAATGTCTATCATCTAAATCACCTAGGTAAGTAGTAATTTAGAACATGTTTGCCTACTACAAATTTCATGGGTCACAATCTAGAATTTGTCAGTGGACTTTTTTCAGTAAATTCATTACATAGGCCAACATTAATTAGGCCAAATAAAAAAAATTATTGTGTTGGCGTATCATCGTGTACCATCCACCAAAATAGGCTAGGCCTTGGCCCCCTAGACCAACGTCAGGTTCTTTTTTTTTCTTTTTTGACTACACGGAACAATTTCTTCTTTCATGAGCTCATAAGGCTGGAATAGCCTTGGACTTGGCTAGGGGGCCAAGGCCTAGCCTATTTTGGTGGATGGTACACGATGATACGAGTCCAAAATTGTATTATTTGTATATTTTCTACTTTTTAAGCGTAAACACATTTTTGGTTTAAAAAAAACAAAACAAAAACTTACCACCTACTGACCTACCCAATTTTTGGGTAGGTTTTTCCCAAAATGTGGCCTACACAAACATTTATTTTTTTTGGCCTTGCTCTCTGTTCTGAGTATAGATAACCAAGCATCCTTTCATACAGTAGTCCAAAGCCGGGTACAATTGTCGTACAATGCCGTGTGTACTCGCCGTGAGTCTTGGGGAGATGCCTTATTGGTGACTGTAAAATGGTCAGAACCAGACAATTCCGACTTTTGATAGAGTGTTTGGAATGTGTTAATTATAGAAAGTAACACAATTTTCACATGGCCTAGAATATTAGCTATATTTTAAGTCAGTGGTGATGTTGTAATTTTCATTTCCACATAAATTTTCTACCTATCTTGATTACTCTACATGCATATTGCAGAGTTACATTGATGTGAACTGTAAAGAAATAATATTGTGATATTAAATCCATTTTAGTGTGAAAGTTTGTGAAGCTCAACATTTGGAGTAATAGTGTATATAGTAGAGTTTGCAAGGATAATGGAAACAGGTAAAATATTGATAATGATAGTTGGCGATATGTAGGCCTACAGTGCTATTTCACACACATAGTCATCATGAACAAAGTGATCACAAAAATGGTGCTTCATTATCATCACACTGAGAATAGGCAGTCAATCAGAGCCTACAACCTCCACATCTGAGACTGGCGAAAGCCGCAGGAAACTAAGAAATAAAAACAAAAGTCAGCCCCGACATCTTTCCAAGCCATGCATACAGTACATTGAACATAATGTGCATTCTACATGTTTTCAAATTATTGCTTTCAATAATACAGTACAACCATTTGCATGATAAGTAAATTCCAGGTTAATAATAAATGAAGATTTTTAGTTATTTTAAAGCCTGGTGTATAAAATCATAAAAAAGACAACTGAATTCTATACACCTTGCTCAGTATACTGTACTTGGGTCAATCATTTTTATTTTGAGAATGTCGCCATATGTCATTTTTTATTGTTTGCATATGAAATTTGCACATGAAATTTGGACATGCAAAACAGATTTGTATTTATGGGGAGAATTTGATAACCTGTAATGTAATCATCAAATGCTGAAAATTAAATTATTATCAATGTACTATTAAACTATTTTTTATTTTTTTATTTTATACATTTCTTTTATTATTGTCATCATTTCCTCACAGAGTTCTCATCGATGCTGGTGCAACTGTCTGATGCCATCAGCAAGAAAGATGAAAAGTATGTAGACCTGTTGAGGGTTCTGTACAGAGATCTTGCAAATGTTAAATCAGATTTAGAGAAAGCTAATTCTGCATTTGATTTATTTCAATTGCTTATAGCACCTGGCATTTTGAAGCCAACAGACATTTCAGTTTTGTTTGAAACAATTGAACTAACTGGATTGAAATATTTGAAAGATATAATCAAGATATATGAGACCTATCCTGATGAAGTGAAGATCACTCGGTTTTCACGACATCGTCAACAGGTTGTTGCTCTGGGAAAAGACTTTTCAGTTAAGGATATCCAGAAAGTTAGTCAGTTGTACGAAGGAAATTTTTCCTGCCCATGGAAACTGATTCAACATCTTGAAGATAAATCTGTTTTAACCGAAAATAGCATGTCATCATTTCTTCAATGTTTGAAGGAGAATAAAGTAAATGAAGGTTAGTAATAAATATAGAATATTATCACATTTAAATATCCATGTAAAACATGGTATTAGTAAAAAGCTACTTCTGTATTGCGATTTTTAGCAGTTTAGAAGCTTTAGAAGCCCAATGGACTAAAGGTCAAGCATAAGCCCATCTTGAATTGAAGCCCCTCTTTAGTTTGCAAAAGTAGCCTTGAAAAGAAGTCCATGGGCTTATTTTGAAGATAACATAAGCTTTTTTTTGCAATACAGTAGTACAGTACACTTACTGTACATGATTTTCAAACAAAATATATTAAAAACATGCTTGGTTTATACAGTATTTTAGGTGATTTAATAAATACTGGTTATTACATTCTATGAAACAGACTGATGTTACAGTGGCCATACTTCTGTTTTATGTGAAATTCCCAAAATTTACAGCATTCATTTAAAAAAAAAAGCCCCCCCCCCCATTTATGTTGCAAAAGTATCCTCGAAAAGAAACCCATCTCGAAAAAAAGACAATCTCAAAAAGAACTCCATCTCAAAAAGTAACCCATCCAAAGGTCCCAAAAAAAAGAAGCTTCTATTGCAGGTTTCACAGTATGCATTTTCAATTTAATGATTAAATTCAATGAGACCTCTCCTAGTCGTCATGAACTGCAGTATTGAGAATAAGGCCATTTCAGAATGCAAGTCTCTGTAAATATCAAAGTGATAATTAATTATGGTAAGGATAACAAATGAAAAAAAAAAAAAAAATATAGTATATGGCAATACAACCTCTGCTACATTATATATTCACTTTCATGAAACATTAGTAGGAAATAACAAGAACATTGTCCGAGCAGAGTTTCTACTTGTAGGAGCTGTAATGTGTATAGTCAACTTGGCTGAGATAATTTCAAAATTATGCCAGCACTTGGCCCCATCGGAAAATGTTAATGCCCGCTCAAGTCCCCCCCCCCCCCCCCAATCTAGCTCCAAGACAGACTTTATCTATTAAATTTTTATAAACAGACCTTTAGAATTTATCAATGTTATAAAAAGATATTATAAAACATTCTCTGACAAGCTGAAATCAGGAGTGTTTTAGGGGATTTATTTTAGTTTAATCATTTAGAGTCTACATTTTCTTTAAATAGATTTTACTCAACTGCTTGTGAGAATATCAGATGCAATCAGCAAAGAAGGTGAACAGTATGTAGATATGTTGAGGGTTCTTTACAAAGATCTTGCAGAGATAAAAACAGAATTGGAGAAAGCTAAATCTGCCTTCAATTTATTCGAAATACTAAGAGTCGCTGACATTTTGAAAGCAACAGACATTTCAATTTTATTTGAAACAATTGAAATAACTGGATTAAAGTATTTGAAGGACATAGTCAAGACATTTGACACATATCCAGATGAAGTAAAGATCACTCGATTTTCAGCACATCGTCAACATCTGGTTGCTCTTGGAAAAGACTTATCTACCATAGATATTCAAAGGATTGGTCAGATGTACGAAGTTCCAGATGACTTCTGTTCTAATTCATGGAAACTAATCACATTTCTAGAAAGTGAGGGTATTGTTTCCAAAGATAACTTGTCATCGTTTCTCATGAATTTGAAAAGAGTTGGTGAGTATGAAAATTATTTAATAATTTTATTTGCAATACCAAATTACAAATACTGTACGTAGATATTAAGTTAGCGATACCACTCTCAGACCCAGAGATACTGTTCTAAGTGCTTGATGTTTTCTCACAGTTCTTATAATTAACAGATAGACGTTTGGAGAACTCTACTAACTGATCATATTTAAACATTACCAAAAATGCATCACTGAATGATTTTGATTAAGCATATAAACGCTATGCTTTATATTACAATAGTTATTTTAAATTTATTTGTAACCTATGCCACTAATGTTCTGTTTCACAAGCAGTCTTAGTATAGTCTAGTTATTGCTGTTGATGATGTTGTTATTTTTATTAAATATTATTATTGCTATTATTAATATCAAGCATTTAAAGCAGGAGTAAGGGATATTTGAAATGCTGGAAATATTACACACTTTTGTTTTGCTCTCTAACAGGTAAATCAGGAAAATTAAAACAAGCAAGAAAAAAGCAAAGATGGGACAAAGGTTTGTAATTAATAATTATGCATCACTATTTTGATTTCTGTACATAGTGTCATAGTGTAATACAGTGTAAGTGCACAATACATAATGTTCTGGTAGGGAGTAAGAAAATCATATATGTCATTTATTTCATTATTTTGAATTTACAAAAACTAATATAAAAATACAAAATGACTCAGTAAGACTTGGTAGGTTGCTCAAAAGAGGGCAATACCCATCTGTCTGGGAGCTCTCCAGTACCAATCGAAGAAACAGATGTAACAGAAATATATTAAAATAATTTGTAAAGTACTTAAAAACTATAAACAGAATATTGTATTATTGCAATTAAAGTCATTATTAATAGCATTATCATTATTTTGGAATATAATGTGATGGAAGCACAGCTTGGCCCTGTCAGTAAAAAATTTTTAAATATAAATAAATTGTCAGATTATCTTAGAAAAACAATATTTGCAAACCACTTAAAAACAATAAATGAAGTATAAATATTATTACTACAATTAAAATCTTTATTTAAAAAAATTAACATTATCTAAATTAAAAGTAGAATGAAATTTGATGGAAGCAAAAATTGACCCTTTCAATAAAAATGTTAAAGTAAATTATAAGATTATCTAAGTTAAATAGAAATATTAAAAGTAACATGTGCAAAGCACTAATACAACAATATATCCAAATGGTCTACTGTAGTTATCTGTTAATGCAAAAAAATGTCAATTTCAATTTCCTCAATAGGTATTAGGAGAAGCATAGGAGAAGCATCAACATCAAAAAGACCAAAGTTAGACAAAGGTATGTACTGGGTGTTGCTGAATAATTGCTTGTTATTTTTAGTGAATATCTGTAATGTATGAATGTATATTAGTCTATGTATTTCATCTGATTATTAAATATGTATTGTGCTTTATTCAATTTTTGGAGGCTCCAAATATTAAATGTATAATAAAGTATGATATTTTTCTAAAATCAGTGCACGAATAATACATAAAAATAAAACTATTTTAATATATTTTTAACACATTGTTAGAAAATATGTCTAATAATACATAAAAAAGACCACAATGTTAAAAACCAGAAATATTTTAGACATCACTGTGGTTATAGGCATGTTTCCGCTACTACGCAAACTTGGTCGTCAATCGGGAAACGTGCATACACATTTCAAAGTGGAAAGGGCACTATGTCAATTGTCCACCTCACTATTCAGTATTCAGTAATTAGCTTATAAAATATTATTAAATAGTTAAATTAGTTGGTCTTTTGTTTGGAAGTTATGCATGGTTTGGTAGTTTAAATAAATTGATTACAATAGAATACAATATTATGAATCAGGCTGGAAAAATTCTAAAATAAAACAGGCAATAAGATGATATTTGGATGATTTTTCAATAAAGTAGATCAAAGCATTTGATACAATTAACCACAATATCCTTTTATTTAAACTTTCTCACTATGGTATCCGCAGTCCCACCATAATCTTTTTCGAAGTTACCTCTCTAACCGTTCACAAAATATTTTAACACCATCTCCAATTGTCGCCTGATTATTTGTGGTGTCCCCCAGGGATCCTTATTGGGCCCTCTTCTATTCCTTTTATATATAAATGATGTTCACTTCTCTTCCAACCTTCTTTCTTTTTTTCTTTATGCTGACGACACCACTATTCTATGTTCTAACAAAAATATCCATTCCTTATTCAATACTGTTAACTCTAATTTAATTTCCATTTCCCAATATTTTGCCACCAACAAACAATCGCGAGAAGTGTAGCTTCATCCTGTTTCGAAGTCTCCAAATAATCACAAACTCGCGATCTTTCAATTTTTCAAAATTTATATTGATAATTATAAAAATCCAAATATCCAATTTGCAAAGTTCTTAGGGGTTTATCTCGATAGTGGATTAAATTGGGAAAAGCAAATCAGCCAAATTGAAATTAAAGTATCCAAAAGCCTTGGTATCATTTCTAGGTTATCCTCATATGTTCCCCCAATGTTCTTTGTATCCTTTATTGCTCCCTTATTCTCCCCTATCTGAGATACTGCAACATTGTTTGGGGAAACACCTACCTTTCCAACTTAAGTAAACTTCAAATCATTTAAAAGGAGGCTATCAGGATTATATCTGGTGCTCCACTATGGTCTCATTCTTCTTTATTTTCTAATCTCAATCTTCTAAAATTTGCAATGTCTATTTTATGTACGCCTCCAATCGCTGTCTCTTACCAACTCATTTCTGTAACATTTTCAAATACAATTACTCCTTTCACAATTAGAGTACACGAAATAGCTCTAATTCGCCTACAGAACCAATTATTTCCAGCCCTAAATTTTGGAATTCGTTACCCTCTCATTTAGTCAATGCATCTTCTATTAAATTTATGCTAACCAATTAAAAAAACACTTAATTGCTGATTGGTAATTTTGTATTTTAACATATAAATTCTATCTCCCCTGTTACCACTTTCTCGGTCTGTCGGTCTGTTTTCGATTAATTTTGAATGTTGTTGTTTTTTGTCTCTTTCTGTCCTGTTCTTTTGCTTTTCTTCTCTTTTTTTTTATTTTCTCTCTCTCTCTCTCTCTCTCTCTCTCTCTCTCTCTCTCACGTTTCTGGCTGTCCCACCACAAGATTGGTTTCTCTTATCTTCTTGGGTCTTGCCATCTTCCTTTCACTTGTCTATTAAATTTTCATTATCAATTTTCTGCATTTTCAATTTATTTAAAAACCATTGTATTATTTATCTCTGTTAAAAAAGGAAGTAAATAAATGTTGAATTGAATTGAGTATATTTACAAATAGTTCCCACCCACTAAACATACTACAGTATATTGATCTTTTGGAAAATTCAAATTAATTTCATAATTCAATCTAAAAATCATAAATGTATTTATATTAGGTGTCACTGAACTAAAAAAACCCCACAAAACTAGGGATTGTAGATACTCAAAGTGAATATATTGCACACATTTGTTTTGATCAAAATTCCCAATGATGTATTCTCTTTACAGACAAGTCAGGACAGTCAGAAGAACCAAGAAGGTCAAGGGCAGATGAAGGTGTGTTTATATACAGTAGCATTATATTGACATTTTAATACATGTGCATCCTAACAAAAGTAATTATACATAAACAAGTTATCGAGTAGTTACATATTGCACACTGGAGCATAGTTGAGTTACGTGGATCACAATAAGATTATAAATGTACGGTAAATGATAGGTTTATTAAAATTACCGTACTCGCGCGAATAAGCGCCCGGGCGCTTAAAATATTTTTTTGCACTTTTTGAGGGGCGCTTATACGAATGGGTCGCTTATGAAAACAAGAGTGGAAATTGAGGGGGCGCTTATGGAAATAGATGAAAATCGAAGGGTTCTTATGAGAACTTATTAAATTCAAGAGGCACATTTTGAATGAAAAACGATTATATAAGGACATCAGGAAACCGCAAATTACGAATGGTGGTGCGGCGGAAAAGATAATTGTCCAGAGAGCATGGCTTGTCATGACAAGAATGTTGTGAGTACAGTATTAGGCCTACATAACAGCAGAATAGCAGATGAAATTAGTGGTAGTGGTTAGCTTGTTGGCCATATTCGGTCAATTGAGATTAGCAGGATGGCATGATCATTGCAGGTTTTCTTGAAAACTCAGATGAGAATGTGTTAAAGGTGCAAATTGTCGGAAAAGGAGAAGGACTAGGCTATAGACAAATGTAAGAAGATGAAAGTTGGAAATATACTGTCCAAGATATCCTCATTTTGATATTGACTACAGGAATGTGATTCCACTCCACAACTCAAATCATGCCAACATCCAAAGTCCCAGGATTGATTGGATTATTGAGGGGGCGTTTATTCAAATTAGAAGGGGACGCTTATTCAAATGGGGCACTTAAGGAAATTTTCACGTTAGGAGGGTCGCTTATTCAAGAAGGGCCCTTATTCAAACGGGGCGCTTATTCGCGCGAGTACGGTAATTGCTATATCAAAATTGGCATTAGCATATCAATCAAATTAACAAATTGCAACTAAAAAATTACAATTATTAGGTTACTCTAAGCACAACATTTTATGGCCTGAAATAGCACACTCACAATTTTTAATATAGTTTTTTTTTCTCCACCTTTTTAATTTTAAAAAGACTAGGGGAGCTTGGGACAGCTTTACACCTGTCTCTTCTGAATAATTTTTTTGTTTAATCAAATCAAATCAAATTCAGTTTATTGCAATCTGACAAGATAAAAGTCTACACCAAATTGAAGTTTAACAATAATTGCAGAAGAACATATACACAGAGATCAGGGAGACCAGAGATTACAAGGGTCTGATTATAACCGACCCAGGGCAGAATGTGAAGCGCTCTTCGTTGAATTTGTTCTAGGGCTTTGGACTGAACACCAAATATACAAGTACAGTACCCCAAACGGGCAGCATACTCCATAACAGGGCGAATAATACTAACGTAATATTGGGCCAGTTCTCTTTCCCCAGCCCTGCTCTACCTAGTTGTTTTAGGAAAAAACAGACAGGTATTACATTTAGCTAATAAGGCTTCAATATTCAAATTCCAAGATAGTTCGCAAGAAATTCTTTTTGGGCGGATAGTAATCCAAATCGTTTCGAAATCATTTGGAACAAACTTTCTACGGAATGTTCTCATTGATGTAAATTAAAACACTGCCTTGGTTTCTTTCAAGCCTATTCTTATGGACAAAGCTATATCCACTTAGAGTAAGTAAATTATTGGCAATGTGTTTAAGGTGTGTTTCGGTAATGGCTACTGTGTGGGCGGGTTGTGTTAATCTTAGTTGTAAATTCATCAAATTTGTTCATAATTGACCTAACATTGATTATCCACACTGACGGTACATCATGTTTACAAGGGGTGATGTCTATTAAATTAGCATTATTTACTCCGGTAATCCGTGGCCTACCTTTTGAGAACAAATTACCACCTAAAATATCAGATCTTTTGCAAGATGATGGTCGGGATTCTTCTACGTTTAGATTTTCCAGGTCGCCATCCTCTAGGCTTATCCATATAGTAGGCCTACTGCTATCATAATAACCGGAGACCACGAAGAAAGAAGTATGTATTCTTTATGTTGGAGGTTTAATCCGCTTGGAACATGAACACAATAAGTTAACTTGCATACATCAAGTCCCTCTGTTTTGATGCAGTATTAGCCTAGCTACTCTATCAGTATGGCCTTCTACCTGTTTACCACGTAGACAATAGGACAGCACAAGTCCGACCACTTTTGATCATCCTAAATACTCAACATAAAACTCCACAATCGCAAACAGCAACAGAAAGTCACTAAACATACACAAAATGAGATTTAACTAAAGATTTAGCTAGGAAAAGATCCAATTACAGCCACCACAGTGTGGACGCATTATACACAGTCAAAATCATTATACACAGTCAAAATCATTATACACAGTCAAAATCATTATACACAGTCAAAATCATTATACACAGTCAAAATTGTTTTTTTATTTAGATAAAAATTCTGGATTTGTATAATCAGAAAGTAGAATTTAAGAAATTGAACTAAATGATGTAATGTAGAAGAGTAATAGTAACTTTAACTATAAAATTAATAGTAAAAATATATTATTGCTATTTGTTTTCAACTATTTCTGATATTATTATCAAAGATTCCCACTATGTTGATCTTTTGAAACATCCAAATCAATTTCATAATTAAATAATAATGTATTTTAGATCTTTTCTTTGTCATTTAACCTAATAAATTATAATTAAATCATTGTCTTGTAATTAAACAAAGAATATATATATATATATATATATATATATATATATAT